CCCTCGACATGATGGAAAGCATCGACGGTAGACACACTCGGTGCACTTGTAGCATGCAACTTGGCGATAGGGCAGTTGGCCAAATGCCGACGCGCCAAGGGCTACTTCGTTGATTGTCAAGTCATAAAGCGCTGAATGGTATCAAGGTGCTTCGTAGGAGAGACAACAACGTCTTCATAAGTGGGGTATCCAAGAGTACCAAGTGAGCATGGCTCTGTAGTTAAGGGCAGATCGGCTGAAATGTGCTTAACTGGGAAAAAACGGGACGTTTGGTGTGTGTGTGTGTGAGTGTGTGAGTGTGTGTGTGTGTGTGTAGACAGCGGAGATGTCGAGGAAAGGCAAGTGAAATGGTAAAAAAGGGATTTAAGAAAGTAGGTGCAAAAAGTTTGGGGAAAGTATCTGACAGTGAATGTATGCACTGTGGTCGCAAAAAATGGCTCACCTCATTCCTGCTGCGCTGTACATCAGTCATCTGCTGCTGGACATCCTCAAGCTCCTTCTGTAGCACACGCTTCTGCCTGAGCAGAGTCTCCTTGGCCTCCTCCATCTCGTCCAACTGACCGGAATATATAAAATGAAAATATCTTTAAGATGGGCAACTCCTTGTCGCGTATATATGGATTGATGCAGTAGGTGTCAAGGCTATCAACTTGGCGAAATATAAGGGCTGATAGTGTAGCTTCTATCACAATGAAAATGCATAGGCCTCACCTCACTTAGCAGGCCAGATGGGACCTTCAAGGAAATTCAAGCTTCTCCAAAATCCGATTAGACAAATGCATGTCTGCCCTACTCATATTCAAATTTCATTTAGCATTGCAACAGGTAACACTACTTATATTGTATAAGAGTAAATTTCGGAAATGACCACAATTCTTGAATGCGGCAAAAGACACCACAATAGAAAAGCCTTCAAAATAAACGAAAAATTGGGGTAAGGAATTAGACAACCCAATGTCTAGATGAAGCAAGCACGTACAGGGCACATCTCGGTATAACGATGTTTTATTATCACAAAATAACTTGTGAAATTAAACATTTTCGTTATAACAAGATTTCACATGTATTTGTCATATTTGTAGTGATTTTCATTTGCCATTACAATCGATGATGCTACTTATGTTTAGTATAAGTAGGCTTGGGAAAGCAAAGCAATGTAAAATTCAATAGAAATGTAAGGTTTATCTATATTATTGTGGGAAATTTTAACTACCAGTCCTCCATAATCTTAAACAAAATAAGGTGAACTGAAGTACAATTTCTGCCTCGCATCACAATATCATCGTGAGAAAAGCTTAAAATAGAATAAAGATGCGATTTTTGTGAGCGTTAGGGCGCCTAAGCCAATCCAGAGTTGTTCAACATTACGGTTCTCTTTCTTTAACAAAATGCAGAGAAGAGAAAGACGGCAAACAAACCCATGGCCTATCTACCGAAAGTGAATTGGTGCAAGATTGTTTGCTGGAGTGTGATGTGTTAATAAAATCAGAAGTCTACCTATTTCGTTGAGAGAAAACTCGGCTATAAATCCTTAAATCACCTGGAACGATCTTGTTTGACTCAAAATCTTATTCTTACACAAAGAGAAAATAATAAAATGTTAATTGAAGTTTTTCGTTTTAAGCCGGATCCCCTCGAGAATCGGGGCTAATTCGTTCTCTCTGCTTGCTCAACCAATCGAGCAAGATTCCCATCAGTACACCGTTGATAAATCTGGTTTGTGCAAATGTTTCCTCATCGATTTAAGTAGGGCAACATCGCGAAGGGCAGAATCGACAGGATGGGGAAGAAGTCTGGTATGAAGCCAAGCTTTGCCAATGCTGTAGCGCCAGACTGGACAAAGGCTCTTGGGCGAAAATGTAAATGCAGCAACGAAATGTGGCTGCGTTTTGATGAGCCTCATGACAGGGACTTTGGTCCCGTGGTAAAGTGCAAAATGATGAAAATTGTAGAATAAGATGCCGACGTTAGTTATTAGGTTGAAGGCTCTCGAGATATTTTACTACCTTTTCAGGTAAAAAGAAACGGAGCTTGCGTCTCTCAAACAGACGAAGGCTGAAAGGTATCGCCAGAGCTGGATCACATTCTTAAAAAAAACTTACATGATGCACATATACACAATGAACTAAGATAAACTAGACGAACAGTCTGTACATTGAAGTGGTTTGACCTCGTTGTCGCAACTTGGTCTTGTTGTCAGGCCGAC